TTTCTACCTCTATAGTAAGCTGCTGAGCCTGCTGCACCTGAAGTACTCCACCAGAAGCGATATATTGACGCTGCCGATCTTTCTTCTGTCGCCGGAGCTTACTGCCTTGACGTAGCTTCTTATTTTCTTCAGCAAGTATTGTCGCTGATTGCATTGCAATCTGACAGCCTTTAATAACTTGGCGAAGAAGCTGGCTTGTTGGGCTCTGAGATTCCCGGTGGAGCCGGTCTTCAAGATATTTTGCCTGCTGCTGGAGCTGAGCTACCGTATGGGGTGTCTCTGCCTGCCAGGCGATATCGGCGACGTTATTTTCTGTAGCTGTCTGTGGTGGAGATGGTGTACGGACGACAGTCAGTGACGATAGAACGCGATCTAAGCAAGGAGGGATAAGACCTGTCGCCCGAAAGCCTGCTTGGATATTCTACTGCGTGAATACTGTCGGCCGGATCCGTGTATAGACTATAAGAAAGTCCGTCTTGTCGACGTGGTGAAGGCTCTGGCGGGCGAGCTCCTCTACCTCACGTCCGTACGCGCGCTTGAGCGGGGAGAAGCAGCTTACGTCTAGAGGCTGAAGGAGGTGCGACGTATAAGGCGGCATACAGAGAGTAATTATCTTATTCTCTGCGCAGTATTGGTCGAACTCGGGCGTAGCGTGACTGCTATAGCCGTCTAGAATAAGTAGCCGATAGACTCCAGCTGTACGAGTCGCTGTATGCTGGTTGAAATGCTTTACCCACTCTACACCAAGCTCATCTATCGTCCAGCCATTTTCTGAGACGCCAATAGCCCAGTCTGGTGGGAGATTGCGGTACCAGCTACTTTGGTGGACCTTACCAGCCAGTATCACGAACGGTGGCAGAGACCAGCCAGACGCGTTGACGCATTCGATCGCTATAACCCACTCACGATTGCCTGGCTGTACGACGACTGCCCGACCAACTCTATCAGAGCTAGTCACGACTTTTGACGTGCTAGCGACGCCCATCGCGAACCCAGTCTCGTCAAAGTTGTAGATATCCTGGTCTAGCACGCCGTACGTCTGGCGGATCTCCTCTACTAGCTTAAACCACGCTGCGATTATAGCAGAATCTTCATACTAGGCGCGCTGGCTATTAAGCCTTCTACTCCACTTCGTCTAAAGCTCTAGCTGGCTCTGGATAAAGCGCGATACCCATTTCTTGCCTACGGGTGTAGAAGGTGGATCTTGGCCACGCGCGGCGAGCAACGCGTCTGCCATCCGTCGTACGTCAATAATATAGAGTGGAAAACCACGCCTATCTAGGTCTAGAATCCACTGTACGAGAGACTGCTCTTCAGTAGATAATAGCTTTCTTTTTTTAGCATTAGCAAGAGCTTGAGGCTGGCTACCTTAAAGGCGGTCGTAAAGTGTTGAACGAGGGATATTAAATAGCCTTGCAGCTTTACGTTAGCTTTTTATTTACTGTTTTTAAATTAATTGTAATACAAGAGAAATTCTACCTTGCCTTTAAGGCGATAAAGAGCGCTGTTGTCGCGGCATTGTGATGGTTGTGTGGAGCGTTGGGTTAGGTTTGGTGGGGTGGCCGGATGACTGATCTGGCCGGATGGCTGATCCTTGACGTTAACGTGTTCTATCAGTAAGCTGGCCGTATCAGTAAGCTGGCCGCCCCACCAAAATTGACGCGACGCTCTACACCACCACCACAATGCCGCGACAACAACGCTCTATACAGACTTCTCGTGAAGGCAGACTAAG